TTATACACAATTTTTCTAATTAGACAAGCTTGAAATGATCAGTAACATAATAAAAATCAGAAATTTAGAGAATGCAGGACATGTTTATAATATTTTATCCTTGATACTTATTCCACCATGAAGACAACACCTTGAAACATAATCTTCTTTTAGGAATATCCTTCAAATATTATTTAAATTATATGGAAATAATATCTTTTGCTTTATTTTTAACATTATTTTCTCGATATAAATATTCCAAATTAATGTATTAGAAGTTTTATTGATTATCAAAATCAATTCAGATCATGGAACTAAAGAAGATGGAGAAGAAATTCATCCCAATTCATCATTTAGCTTATACTTATCAATAATTATCTGACATATTAATTTAAGTTACTATATCAATTNTAAACTTAAAAATATATTTCTTATATATATTAAATTTAAATAAATTCATTAAATTTTACGATTATTTTATTGTATAATAAAATAAATCATTCAAATTAATAATCTAACTCCATCAATATAGTGTAATAATATCAGCCTAACCCTCTTCTAGTATAGTTTAATGGTAGTAACAATTTAATCCCTTCTAGTTTATTAATAATTTAGTAAATATAATAAAATAAACTATAAAATATCTCAGTAGTTTATAAGGAAAAAAAACCTCAAAAATTATTACTTCTACCCTAAAATAACTTAAATATAAATAATTAAAATGTTATAAATTTATTTATTTTAGCCTCACCCCTTTGAATTGGTTAAAAATATTTAATTAAATCTTTTTATTTTCTTAATTTCTCAAATATAATTAAGAAAATTTATAATCCGCTAAGTGTGCTCCTGTTTATTATTATTTAATAAATAAGTGGTGGGTATTTAAAATAAATAAATAAGAAAGGGTTGTATGTCTTGTAAATGTGCTACTCGTAAAGGTAATGAATTATATGCTATAAATTACAGTTGAATTTACAGAATAAACGAAAACAAAGAGCAATTTTATATAAACAAATCCATATTTTTATTGGATAATAAAGTATTTAAGCAAACGAGCCCCAAAGTGATCTTTTACATCACAACAAACGTGACAAATATATAAAAGAAGCCATTTATTCAGCAATAAAATACATAGATGCAATCAATATTTAAGATATTTTTAATTAACTTTCTTAAATTTTTTTAATTTTTTTGAAAATGCAAGAGCTTCTACTATTTATTTTCGAAGGCATCGAGTGTTAATAAACCAAAAATGCCACACACTAACCCATTACGTGTAAGGTGTAAGAGCTTTATTTTTTAAGTGATTTATTAATCCTAGATGAGTGAAATTTAAAAGAAAAAAGTATAAGGAAAAATAATTATTATAATTTATCTGGATGAAGGAGAAACATATATAGGTCAAAAATGATCCCCTCAAATTTTTACATTTTTGTACTCTGGACCTTGAAACGTCGAAAAATGCAAAATTCTGAAATTTTACAGGAAAGTTTGTATATTAAGGGCATTCATGTTATTAAATTTTAGAGTTAAAGGTCAAGAGGGAGGGGAGATACAAGGGATCGTGTGTCATATCTCGATGGGTTCGAATTTAATAAAGATTTTACTCGTTATTAGCATTTACGATTTTTTTAAGATATAAAATACATCTTTACCCTCAAATTTAAGCTTTTTGCTGTTTTATACTAATTAATAATATTAAAAAATTTTTTTTTATAAAATCTCGTAACAGATGGCATTACCATACAATTTTAACTCTTGCGGGAAAAGTTGCGCAACTTTTTGCTTGATTTTTCATTAAAAATTCATTACTTTTTCTTTATTAGAATAAAAGAGATTAATATTTACTACTTGTCATGTATATATATATTTATTTATTTATTTATATACAGTTGCCCCCCATAACACTGTTGATAATTCCGTTTTATATGAATTTTATGTTGTACGAGTTACTTAGATTTTACAAATACGTGTGCCAGGATGTGAACGGCTCACGTATTTGTAAAATCTAAGTGACTCGTACAACATGGAATTCATATAAAACGGAATTATCNCACAAAGATACTTATCCTTAAGTGCATTTGCATACACTCAAAAAAAACAAAACAAGGTAAAAAATAAAGGGTAAACTTTTACACAAATAATACTAAAAAATCTTTTTTTCTTCTTTTCTAATTTTCAAATTCAATAAAATTAAAATTTGTTACTTAAACTTGATTAAAAGACATTATTTTATTCAACTTTTGTTATAATTTTTACTTTCCTGATGTTATTGATATATATAACAGAGGGAAGTATGGAGATAGGTCAAAAATGATCCCCTCAAATTTTTACATTTTTGTACTCTGGACCTTGAAACGTCGAAAAATGCAAAATTCTGAAATTTTACAGGAAAGTTTGTATATTAAGGGCATTCATGTTATTAAATTTTAGAGTTAAAGGTCAAGAGGGAGGGGAGATACAAGGGATCGTGTGTCATATCTCGATGGGTTCGAATTTAATAAAGATTTTACTCGTTATTAGCATTTACGATTTTTTTAAGATATAAAATACATCTTTACCCTCAAATTTAAGCTTTTTGCTGTTTTATACTAATTAATAATATTAAAAAATTTTTTTTTATAAAATCTCGTAACAGATGGCATTACCATACAATTTTAACTCTTGCGGGAAAAGTTGCGCAACTTTTTGCTTGATTTTTCATTAAAAATTCATTACTTTTTCTTTATTAGAATAAAAGAGATTAATATTTACTACTTGTCATGTATATATATATTTATTTATTTATTTATATACAGTTGCCCCCCATAACACTGTTGATAATTCCGTTTTATATGAATTTTATGTTGTACGAGTTACTTAGATTTTACAAATACGTGTGCCAGGATGTGAACGGCTCACGTATTTGTAAAATCTAAGTGACTCGTACAACATGGAATTCATATAAAACGGAATTATCAATAGTGTTATAGGGGGGTCGACTGTACATGATTTAACTTTCTAACTGTTTAAAAATAAATTAAACTTTATTAAAACTTCAGTATCGGTCGATAGAAAAGCAATAAAATTTTAGATTAGAATATTAACTTAAAATATTAATTTTGTCAGTACTTTAATGAATATAGAATAAAAAATAAATAACATAAACGAAAATTAAACTGTTAATATATATTTATACTACTTAAAAATAACATTTTTAGTAATAAAATCATGAAAAAATTAGTGTTTTCATGATTATTACATTGTTAACTTATAAGTTAGTATTAATTGTTCTAGTCTAGTAACAGTCTAAGTCCTTCTAATCTAGCACTAGATTAGACCGTAGAGAAATGCTTTAACCCAGAATATCTTAAATTAAACTAGCCAATAACATAATGTAATATAATTTACCGTAACATCATTTTGAGAATATCATTAAATGATTTTTGAAAATATTAAATGTTTACATGCGTAAATCCCCAACTTGACAGTTATCTGGTAGCACAGATGCTACAGAATCCAGGCAATAATCCAATAACGATCTGACTTTATATTGGAATATGATAAGTCTGCATCTTTAACGTGTATCGTGAGCAAATTGTTAAACAAGTAACATCCATAATATAACTGTTCGTACTAATATCAATATAATAAAAAGAATAATATAAAATAAACTGTAAAGTTTTATACTAATGTTATAGCTGTTGATGATAAAAAGAAGGAAAAAATTACCTTAATCAATATTAAAATTATTACTTAAAAGCACTTATCAATCACTCAACTATCATTAATTATTCAAGTATAGTTATTAAGACCATAATATATAATTTTTAGACCTTTAGATGTGTAATTTCGCTTTTACATTATTAGATCAAACAGCAGAAAATGATTTAAAGTAAAATAATTAAGAAAAAATAGTCAATTATTTAAACTTAAAAATATATTTCTTATATATATTAAATTTAAATAAATTCATTAAATTTTACGATTATTTTATTGTATAATAAAATAAATCATTCAAATTAATAATCTAACTCCATCAATATAGTGTAATAATATCAGCCTAACCCTCTTCTAGTATAGTTTAATGGTAGTAACAATTTAATCCCTTCTAGTTTATTAATAATTTAGTAAATATAATAAAATAAACTATAAAATATCTCAGTAGTTTATAAGGAAAAAAAACCTCAAAAATTATTACTTCTACCCTAAAATAACTTAAATATAAATAATTAAAATGTTATAAATTTATTTATTTTAGCCTCACCCCTTTGAATTGGTTAAAAATATTTAATTAAATCTTTTTATTTTCTTAATTTCTCAAATATAATTAAGAAAATTTATAATCCGCTAAGTGTGCTCCTGTTTATTATTATTTAATAAATAAGTGGTGGGTATTTAAAATAAATAAATAAGAAAGGGTTGTATGTCTTGTAAATGTGCTACTCGTAAAGGTAATGAATTATATGCTATAAATTACAGTTGAATTTACAGAATAAACGAAAACAAAGAGCAATTTTATATAAACAAATCCATATTTTTATTGGATAATAAAGTATTTAAGCAAACGAGCCCCAAAGTGATCTTTTACATCACAACAAACGTGACAAATATATAAAAGAAGCCATTTATTCAGCAATAAAATACATAGATGCAATCAATATTTAAGATATTTTTAATTAACTTTCTTAAATTTTTTTAATTTTTTTGAAAATGCAAGAGCTTCTACTATTTATTTTCGAAGGCATCGAGTGTTAATAAACCAAAAATGCCACACACTAACCCATTACGTGTAAGGTGTAAGAGCTTTATTTTTTAAGTGATTTATTAATCCTAGAATGAGTGAAATTTAAAAGAAAAAAGTATAAGGAAAAATAATTATTATAATTTATCTGGATGAAGGAGAAACATATATATTAAGAATTTATTAAGGAAGAGGAGGGTGGTAAGATTGTATTCTTGTATAGTGAGTGACTAAAGGGGGCGCCACATGTCGGTGAAAACGTGTGAGGGTAGATTTGCGGTCAATAGTAGATCCAATAGCGCAGAGCGAAGTAGAACATGATGCGTGTTGTTCGATCAGTCTTTGTTGACTTGTGTCAGAATTCCAGGGATATGTAAGTGGAAGAGAAATCCTGTTAATTGGTGTGTGTCGTAACACATCTGGCAGGTTCGTCCGTTACAACAAGCAAATGGACACTGCTAGTGTGGAAATGAGAATCAGGCTGCAGCACAGAATAGAATCTCCGTTGGTAGTGTTGGTTGTGCTAGTGGTCTACCTGACTGGACTCGGAAAATGCCTCATTGATATTGCAGGTATGTCAATTAAGTATATCCCGTTTCGGACACTACACAATTCTTGCATATATACGAACTCGAGACGAAATTGAGAGATTTAATATAAATTAAGTAATTTTTATATCGTTTAAAAATGCTAACTGTGGTCTAATTTACGTGTCTCAACTAATTTTATACAGTTTTAAATCATAATATATATTATAGGAGTGCTGTATACTGTTATTAAGTACAGTTACTAGTAACACGATTCGCGTGTTGTGTTGATGAACTTATTTGAACCTAATAATCTATATGAAAAATTGGTGTAAAGATCGTCAGAAATGGTTATTTATTATAAAATATTGGCAAATAATTGGTAGGAATTGAATAATTTGTAAATATTTTTTCAAATATTATTTGTAAACTTCCAGAAAATAACACCTGTTGCGGACTTCAGGATATTGGATATCTTGTAAATAATAACTTAAATTTTGTATATATATTTTTTAAAATAGTAGAAAAAAAATAGAAATTATATGTTTAAAGTTTTCAAAAATAAACAATAAAATATATATATAAAAAAAATAATGTTTTTATTGTAANGTTTTTATAAGATATTTATCAGAATATCGCTTATAAATTTAAATAATTATTAATTATAGAAGATAATTTATGTTCTTTTCAGGGACTAGAAATATAGAACTTCTCTTTATAATTTAATTATCTTATTTATTTTAAATAAAATTCTATAAAAATCATTTAAAATATATATTTTTTCACTTCTAGTTAAGAAATTTTGAGAAAATTATAAATAATATTTTTTAATAATTTATTTGCAACAATTCTATAGAAATTTTCTCTTTTATATTTGATTCTATTTTTATAAATCTACTTCAAAGCAGTTTCAGAAATCGTATAATATTTATTTTCTTCATTAAAGATATCTTCCAGATTTTCAAACGTTATAATGACGATATAAAACTGAGTAATTTAAACACTCATCTGGCATTTGTAATGTCCTGGGGCTAATTCATAGCTCTTTAGTTATCTATGACTATGATACTAACTTGTGAGAATAATCTTACTATAAATATTGACAAAACTGATGTTAATACTTTTTAGAAATTGCCATATATTGTATAAATTTTTGCTCGCTAAACAATATATTATTATTATTATTATTATTATTATTCGTATAAATTTATTTTTCAGCTGTTATCAGCTTCCAGAATCATTGTCAAAGTTGTGTAAATTTATCCAAGTTTAATTAATTGTTGATAAATAATAATAAACAGTTTGAAATTATGCATCAAATATTATTCAATTTTTATTCGAAATTTTAAAAAATTCAATTTTTCTTTGAATCGCATTCAAAATGATCAGTTGTGTATTGAGATTTGTATTTTGAAACAATTAACATATAAATTTCTTCAGCTTATATTGAAATAAATGTAAAATTCTACTTTATAAATAAGTTCTAATCGTAGATTATCTATAAAATTTTTAGATGATGCTACTGCTGCTGTTTGATTTTTCTATTTTTCTTCTTCTTCTTTTTCCTTAAAGATTTTTTGGAAAATTTCATTCTAATGTAGAACTATAACAAAAGTAGAGTGGCTCAAAGGTCAATTAACCATTTAAAAGACTAAACTTTCCAACAAAACACGTTAATTTTGTGCAATTCAAATTAACGAGCTACTTAGAATTTCCCCCACGTACACACACACACACGCACACACACGCACATACACACATAGACATATATACTGTATACATAACATACGGTAAACTGACTTTCGAGCTTTATTTCTATTTCTGCACGGAAAATAAGATTAATCGAAGAGATTTTCGAATCTTAACAATATTTTGAAAGGTCACTTTGAAATAAGAAAGAGAGAAAAAAAGAAGTTTGAAGTTATTGTTTTCAGCGGAAATATGAATTTCCAAATATGAGTTTATATCAAGTTTTGTTTTCTTTCTAGTCAGTTTGTATCTTCTTTTGGAGGAAAAGATATTGAATATAACTGCACTGGATAGGAAATATTATCTTATTGCAAATTTATCTAAAAATAAACATTGCTCTTTTTAAATAAATTTCAGTAGTATGAACATATGTTTGATATTTCTATTTATAAAAGCATACGTATATATATATAGATTTTTTTATAATAAAATATTATTATTTTGCTGAAATAACCATTAAGTTTTACTTTGTTTAATATTTTTCCTCTAAGGGTCTCTACTGTTCGTAAACAAATATTGATTATTTAATTTCCTTATCTTAATATGGTCTGCCTTTTGTCTTGGAAGGAATGGAAAATGTTTTCCTGTATCTTATTTTCTACAAAATATGTATTAATAATATTCCGTAACATCATTGAAAAAGATTATCTTAAATTAAGAGAAAAAATTATTTGTTAAAATTAATCTTTAATTTAAAAATAACCATAATTAGTAAATACTGTACATTTGATTGTTTTAATTTAATACGGGGGATTACATTGTGCCTTTTTATTTATTTTAATTTTTTTAGATTTGTCGTGTAATAATTAAAATAATCGTACCAAAAATTTTGTATTTTTATTAAATTTTTTCCTCAATTCCAATTAAAGAACTAATACTTCAGAAATTTATATTTTTTAATATAACAGATTAACCTTTAATATTATAAAATATCCATTAAGTTTACGAAAAATAAATAAAACCATCGATAAAACAATAAAAAATATCATTTATTTTATTAATAAAAGCATAAGGTAAATTAATATAATTAAATTAAATATCTGGAGTATTAAATGTAAAAACATTTATTTGTTTTTTTAAACTTATTAATATGATAATAATTTAGTGTTATTTTAGGTATTTAAATTCTTTCCAATTAATTGTGATTTTAAATATAAAAAAAATTTTGATTAAGTGTAATTTAAAGTCAGTTAAGAAGAGTTTAAAGCGGAAATGTTTACAATCAGTTGTTCGTTTACTATAGAAATTCAAGTGAAAAGTCTCTTGGATGTTGATTCTTAGAAGTTGACGATTCATTTCGAATCAAATGTCAATTGTAATAGCCTGCTATGGACATGTGAACGTTTGCAGAAAAAATCAGGAAGTATTGCTTTGTGTATTTTTAGTATCTATTGTACACATTAACAGTGAAAAGGTTACAATAACAATTATACTGTAAAGCATTCTATACATTTCATACAATAACCGTATTGTTCCACTTTTATTATTAAACCTTACATATATGTATATATATATACTACTAAAGAAGATATAAAAACAATCTCGGGAGAAAAAGGAATCCTCTTAGAAAAATCTCCTTCTAAGAGGTTTTCTTATCTTTATATTTGGTAATTTGTAACTCTTTATTCCTCAACTGTAGAAACTGTCTGATGATCAACTCTATCAACTTTACAATTACTGGTTTCTACAAGAGATTAGCTTTATAGATCTTATACAATTGTACATTACGTATATATATATATATATGTATATATCCAAAATCTCTGGCAGAGTTTAACCTAAGAAATTCTCTTGTATCGAAAATTCTATATACATATATAGAAGTTGAGTGAAGAGAAAGCCTTTTTTAATAACTAATATTTTATTTTTTAAAGATATATTCAGCACAAAAATAAGAATTTTCATAACTTTTGATCCATTTCTCTTATTAGATTTTAATATTTGATTGACGCAAAGTATTTATCGAACGTATCCACGTGAATTTAAATATAAGAAGAAAATATTTTGCTATGACGTTAAATCAATCCAAACACCGTTAGACTTTAAAAAGAAAGAGTGGAAAAAGTGTTCGATACAAGTTCCATCGCTGATCATTCATGCATTCTGTTATTCAACATTGCCAAGTTTACAAACGGCAACAAATATTTTGATTCACGCTTCACTACGTATTGACCTCTTGTAGAGCTCTTACAAGTTTATGGTGAAATCGTTTCCACCCATCTCAAAGTGTTGTAAAAGCAATAATGGTTTGAAGAAGCATGATATTCGATAAAATTTTTCTACCATTATTTAAATCTATCATATTTTTTATGTATATATAAACGAATATGGCCATTATGTTTATGTTCCTTCCGGAATTTGTTTAACAACCTTTTTTTTCTTACACAGTTTTTGCTGTATGGTGTTACTTCTAAATATTTGTTGTACTATATAAATACTTATTACTGAATATTAATTTGATGAGTAAATATTTACACATGAAGGATACGAAAATAAGTGTGAATGATATATTCATTTGAAAATACTACATATGTTACTTGTTCTTGAAAAATTCTTGCGCTTAAACAACACGTGCACATGAAAATATTTGCAACTTGAGTAAAATTTGCGTATTAAAATGCGTGTAAACATTTATTCAAGAGTAAAATATGTAAAATATTTTAGAACTCGTGTAATTTTTTTAAATTATTATTTTTAATTTAAAAAATTAAATAATTTTTTAAATTAAAAAACTCTACTCTATATGGACACTAAGAGGGCCTTTTAATTGTATCTGTTATGGGTTCAGCCAGATCCACAATAGGAGTGACCGACTGGCGAGGATAGGCTTCTATGTATTCGGGATAGACTTGGATCATCCTCCAAAATTTCTGATGTTGTGTGTTCATATTAGATCCCCAGTTCTTCATAGTGATATACTACTACACTATATTATATTATAGTATAGTGGTATAGTACTACTATGAAATACAATACAGTTCAGTAATATAGTAGTAGTATTATACTACTATTTTCATATATCTTAAACGTTGCAAGAAAATGTTTGCATGTCAAAATGTTACAGTCGAATTCAAATGAAGTAGTACTTATATATGAAAGACAAATGTGCATGAAAGTGTGTTTATATAAATACGAATTGCAAAAAAATAATAATTGCACTTGAAAAATTATTCGAGCGTAATTATTTTCACTCGAATGATACTTTCAGTTGTTAAGTTGTTCAGCAAAAATAATAAATAATAATAATTAAAATATAGAAAATTTGTAGGCGATAATTTGTTGTTAAACGAGAGTTT